GTTCATTATAATGTAGCCTGTATAAAAATGGAATTTTACTCAGCTGTTGTAGCATTGAATTGTCCTCTGAAAGACAGACCATGGACATCAGATACCTTCTTCCCAAGCTTGGTTACGGCTGCTTGCCTAGGATCCTCACAGCCAAACTTGTTGAATGGTACACTCCACAATAAAGGATGGGCAGGCAGAGTCAGCCACACCTCCCAATCAACCAGTTGCAAGGGGGAGGGGCTAAGAGCACCAAAGTGAAGGAGGTGGGAGGAGACTCATTCTCTAGGCATTTTGTGCAACTGTGAGGTCACACCCATGCCAGGATGGAGACTTTCCAGTACAGTCTTAGGGGGTGAGCATCCACACTCTTGTAAGTAAACCCTCACCCACTGCTCTGTTAAGTAACCCTAATAAACTCTTTAGTTTCCCAAACTGTAGTTTGGAGAAATTAGACCTCTGTTTGTTATAAGGATAGTGGGAGGAGGGGGCTGAACAACCTTAGTGCCTCCCAGAAGGAATTTTAGCAACAGCTATTAAGAAAATGAAATTATAAAAGGTGCAGGAAAATGGATGGAACTGGAAAGGATTATATTAAGTGAGGTGACCCAGTCTCAGACAAAAATTACACATTCTCTTTCACATGTGGATCCTAATCTTTAATGTTTGTATGCATGTAGTATGTAAATAAGGGGTTGCAAGAGCAAGTATAAAGTATAGAACTACTCAAAGGGAGGTTTCTCCTGTCTGGCATTGTTTCTTGTTACATAGTCTTCAACTATATAAATGGACTCATGTAGAGATATTGTTATGTGTTATTTTTCAGTAGGTTTTTGAACTAATATATTTCCCTCTGGTTTTTCATACCAGCTAAGCATTATTTATCTCTCTCATCTCTCTTTCTCTCCCTGTCTAACCCTCCCTTCTCCTTCCCCAGTTAAAGTACTCCCATTTTCTCCATTTCACCCTTGATAATACCTGTCTCCTATGGTCCCCTTTCTGAGTCCCAGAATCATACAGACTATTGTCAGAGCCCTTGATTGCCTCTCAGAACTTGAAGGTAAGACCCTATTGCTGAACACAAGACATACTTTGAACACAGAACTTGGAGCAGTGGAGCTGGAACTGACCTGGAAGCCACCTCCCTGAATGCTAGCTCTCATAGTTTTGGAGGACACTATGAAAACTGCTAAGGGAGAACATCAATTGATGGTCCAATTCCAGCTTTAAGGCCTAATAATCATAACAATGACCAGCACAGCAAACTATATTGAGGCAGTAATGGCATTTTTATCTTGGGGGTAATCAAAAGCTAACTAATTGTACTTAAAGCCCAATCAATTGGAGGGAACTCATGTATAGTACTGTAAAAATAGCCAAATACACATGGCAAAAGAAGTCATAGATGTTAGAAAAAACCCTAAGCCTGTCATATCCCTAGACAAATGTAATTTCTTACTATGTGCTCAATATGGATACTTAAATTTACAGACAAGTATGCCAGTCGCCACTCATCAAACCTTCTTTTGTAATAGATGGAGACTATTACAGAGTTCCACAACTGGTCACAAACAGACAAAAAGTGTGTGTGAAATGCCCAACCCTAAGTGATGCATCTAAAATGGAACCTCTACACCTAAGGCTCAAGGTACATAGTTGTGGGAAGTGAGCACGGCCGAGTCAGCCAAAGATGGCGCCTTGGCTGGCTGCCAAGCCTCGTGACTCCAACCCTTGGCTGGCTGCCAAGCCTCCTCTGACCCTCCCTTGTTTACTCCAACTTGCAGAAGCGCTAGGAGCCCGATCATGTGCTGCCTGCCTGATCAGAGACATTATCAAGCATGACCCTGCTACATGGCCCAATGAGCTGCCACTCTGCCTCCCTGCTGCGTGTGTGTGTGTGTGTGTGTGTGTGTGCGCGCGCGCGCGCTCTGATTGGTCCTGGCTGGGAGGAGGACTGTTGGGAACAAACTATATAAGGACTGAAGTGCGTAATAAAGAAGAAGAAGCCTGAACCTCACCTTGGTGTCTGTGTCGTCTTTCCTCGGCTCTGCTGGACAGAGTCGTGGCTTGCGGCACATAGTGGAAAAGGGGGTAGAGAGAACACTAATGATCTCTCAACTCTCATCAATGAAGCGCCCTCATGGAACAGAAGGCAATGAACACGAAAGACCACAAATGGCCAAAGCATAGAGAATAAGAGTATGCAGAGTGTGGGTCCCTGGACAGGATGTCTATATTAAACTTCACCCACCCAGGGCTTAAGAACCATTGCAGAAGACAGAGTAGAAAGATTGTAAGAGTCAGGGGAAGAGGTGCATGACCATATGGAAAGAGAGTCTTACGGGCTCCTGGGATCTTACTCATATGAACCGAAAGCAGTGGTTTCAGCATGCACAAGACTCATACAGACTCAAGCAGACAAAAACCCAGCATTGAGCTGTGGAAATGGGCAGCAGGCTCCAACCTTAGCCAAAGAACTATTGGCAGCTTATTACTGCTGGGTGAGGGAGAGTAGATCCTCTTTAAGGAAGTGACTCTAGATAGGCTGGCTAGGGCCCAGTGGATGAACTTGCACTGAGAGATATCTAGGAATATTAACTTGACTTGATAGGCCTTAATATAAATGACACAACACATGTCCAGTTTGGGGGGGGGGCTATGTGAGGGTATGGATAGGGGAGGGGGTATGAAGATGATTAAGTTGTTTTGTATGAAATACACAAAAATTCAGTTAAAAAAGCATAAAACTAGATAAAAGACCATGATGATGAGAGCAAATGGTGCTGGGAAAGGGTTAGGGTGGAAGGTAGGTGGGAAGGAACCTACTGAGGGAGGAGAGATGGGAAACATGGGAGGAACAGCAAAGCAAATTCTGTTTGAAAAAAAAAGCCATAATGAAACCTAATTATTTGCAAGACAATAACTTTATTTTCTTTGCTTTTTGTTATTTGGGGTTTTGTTTTGTTTTGTTTTAGACAAGGTATCCATGTAGACCCAGCTGGTCTGGATCTTGCTATGCAGACCAGGCTAGCCTCCATCTCACTGAGCTCTATCCACCTGCCAGCACCCACATGGCAGCTAACAACCATCTCTAACTCCAGTTCCAGGGGATCTGATGCCCTCTTCTGACCTCTATGGGCATTGCACAACACAGGTACACTTACATACATGTAAGCATAGCACCCATACACATAAAATAAAATCAATTAATACATTTTTTAAAAGAATTGCAGATATGCACACTAATACCTTCCTTGGTGACTGAGGAGTGCTGGTTTATAAAGACTGAACAAGAGAAGGGAGAGAAACATCTCTATAGACACATCCTAAAAGGCTATTCAAATGAAACTTGACTTGAGTCCTCTTTAGTAATAATTATTAGGTAAAATGAGTGATAAAATAAGAATTCCATCCTGTTATTGTAAAATACTGCATACATGCCATTTAAATTATATATTATATATAAAACATATACTCATAGATACTGTGAATGATATGTATCATATAGTCTCAGATTTTTAAAGTTAAATCCTGCCCTGCAAAGTTTGATGTCTTGAGAAAGAAGGTAAACTGAGGCTTGAACACTTTAATACTACAAAACTCCATGTAACTGAAATTCAATAAAATTCCTATTCTCTATGTGAGCAATTATTTTCCAACTCTAGGCTTTGTTTTCTGAGATGCTGAGATCTCTGTTCCTCAAATATCAGACCCATTTGTTCAATTCCCTTCTGGATATTTTGTCTTTTTGTTTAATCCCTTCAACAACGTTCATTTGAACACCGACTATGAACACGGGCACTTCAGTAGATGACAGGGGTACAGACACACACAAACGTATTCCCTACTTTCTCTGGAAAAGAAAGGGGTTTAGCAGAGGATTGAGAAATTGAACACAGAGCAAACACAGTGATAGTCATGAACACAGGCACTTCAGTAGATGACAGGGGTACAGACACACACAACGTATTCCCTACTTTCTCTGGAAAAGAAAGGTTTAGCAGAGGATTGAGAAATTGAACACAGAGCAAACACAGTGATAGTCGTGTGTTGTGAGCCACGGAAGGGAACATCTACCGAATGCCCAGGGCGAGGGTTCAAGGTACAGAGTGATTTGGAGACTCAGGGAGTATAAGATGTTCCGGACATTCTCAAGGAGTTAGCAGGGTACATCCTACGAGGAAGACACTTCCCAAGAGTGCTGTAGGTCCAACCACTCTATTTGGCCTCTCACAGTCCTGCCGTGCTTTTCCTAGTCAATGTGGCACAGGGTCCCTCAATGGTGACCTCTCTTCCATGAGTGACACTGTGCAGTTCACTTGTCCCTGGGCACCTGCCTGCTCTCATTGCCCTGATTTTCAGAAAGTCATCAGATATCCCAGTAAGAATGCCCAGATTTGGACCGAAGAAAGAAAAAGCATGAATGATCCCTGTTGCTTTATTCATACATCTCATCACCTTTGGGAACGCCTTCAGCCTCCCTGAGGTCCCCCTTCTGCTCAGTGAAAAGCTAGCCATAACCATGAATAAGCGTATCTCAAGGATGGTAAATAAACGCAGGGCTCCATAGCATAGCATGCATGTTAATTATCTTTGTGGGGTTTGAACGTGATGGGGTTTGACTCTAAGACAAATCTTAGAAATACTGGTCTTACAGAGAGGACATGGCGCTTTGGAGACTTTCTCATACACGCAAATACGAATTTCAGTTGAATTCGGTATTTACAGCCTTCTAAGCCTCTCTGTTTCCAAACCTGCCAGGATTTCTTTCTTTCCGGCCATTCAGAAGCCTCGGACCAATTTATTTTTTACTCATCTGTTTTGACTTGAGTATGAGAATAATTAAGCACCTTCCCAAGGCATATTGGGGAGATCATTTGAAGCCAGGCGCTGCGTAAATGATGCCTGGCGCTGAGCCGAGTCGCGATGTCCGGGGCGCGCCAGTTCGCAGCGGGTTCAGCAGGCGGCGCCCGCGCGCCTCACTGCAGCATCCCGGCGGAGGGTGGCCGGCGAGCTGGCGTCCTGCGGCAGTCTCGGGCCGCTAGTCTAGGCGAGCGCAGGGGAGGAGACCCGGGCCTGCCCCCGCTCCGCACTTGCAACCCGACGCCTCCGCAGCCTGGGTCCGCCAGCGTGGGAGGGCGTCCGGGTCCCCGCGGCCCGGGTACGAACTTGGAGGGGTCCGCGGCTCTCCGGGCCTGGAGAGTGAACAGGTGAGTGTCATGCACGTGTCCGCACTGCTCCCTGCGGACGCAGTGCAAGTCCCCGAGAGCACCCAGCCTCTGGGTCAGTCTTCCTGGTCACTGGGTCCCCCCACCCCCCAACCCGAAGGTCGACTTTGGGGTTCGCCGAGAGTGAGGGATAGGAACGTCAGCGCCCAGGCTTCACAGAGCTATCTGGTCAGGGGACATCTGCTCCCTGGTGTGCAAGCCTGTGACCTGCAGTCCACCGGGGGATGGTTCTTGGTTTGCAGAAGACCTGTTGATTCCAGAGGCGCAAGCTAGCCCGGGGGCTAGGACCGTTACTACCTCCGTATCGTGGGGTATTGCGTTGCGATAAGACGAAGGAAAATTCCCAACAATCAAACCAGGAAAGCTTGATTTCAGGAGCGGTCTGACCCAAAGAGAAAAAGATCTCATTCCCACGATCAGACGATCAGACAGACTAGATTCTCTGTTGCCCCAGACAGCTGCACTTTTTTTTTTATTTACGAGACCATAAAAATCCAATTAAAATTTAATTATAAAGATGCTTGGACACTGCCTCCCCCCGGAAATGGAAAGTATGAACCTTGATCAGTGCACTCTCAGAATGATTTATTAAAAGAAAAACCTTTTAAAGTCAAGAAATAGGTAAAGAAGCTTCAGTTTTCTGAACGTCATAGCGCGAACAGCCCTTCAAAGGTTTGTATAATAGCATAAATACGGATGAGTCAATAAATGTATTCATAATATGGAATAATACATCTTTTTTCTTGTTTTTTTCCTATTTCCTTTAATTACTTTATGAATAGAAAAAAAAACACTTTTAATTCCTGTATATTTAAGTGACATTTTGCTTAAGAATGGTAGGAACTTGAAAGTTTTCTGGTTTGTTTAGTTTTTGTCCTAATAAAGCACTTTGAACATAAAGACTGAAGGGCAACTTCAAGCCATAGTCAGGATTTTTCTGTACATTAGAATCAATGAGTTTTCTCAGATTCAAGATATGAAAGTTCTGTTATAAATAATTTCAACAGAAATTTGCCAACAGGTTACTTACAAAAACTGGAACCTTTGTTGTTTCTATCTTATCAAATGTAGCCTTTCACATTTTCTTGTGAGAAGTAAAAAGCTGAAGAATCAATGTCGATTTTGTGCCTTCCCTTGATTTTTCTAAACATGAGGCTGACAGTAACCAGCTGTATCTTTATTAGGTTACAAATGGAAAAAAAATAACTCACATAATTTCTGTTTCATATGTGAAATTCCTGTGCCTCAGAGGGCATTTGGGAGTTACTGGAATATTCAACTTGCTTTTTGATGGCTACTTTTATTACACTTTAATCAAGATGATTAGAGCTTAGATACATAGGAATGACACTTTTGCATGAAATAACAAATTATTACTTCTGAAAGCTCCTGAAATGTGCACATTCCATGTTTCAAAGAAATACTAGCCAGCAACTGTTTATATTGTTAAAATATAGCTAACAAACATCAATATATTATGCTTTGCTGAAGCCATGAACTTAAATATGAAGCATTTTCTTAGTGGTACCCACCAAAATGACAGATAAGAAATTTTGTTTTGGAACAAGTTCTTCTTAGGTAGCCTGGAATAGCCTGGAACCCTTATAGCCCAGGATACTCTTGAAGTCAAGATCTCTCCTGCCCAGCCTCCCAAGTGCTGGGTTTATAGTTCACCTCCACCACACCCAGTGCCTAAGGAAAAATGCTTATCTTTAGCCAAAAATATGCTATTAAATAAGTGCAGATATTTACAGTCTTGGTTTTTATAGTATTGGTGGTTACTACAAAGTGTTTTTCATTTGGAGATGAAGTAAAAGTTATGCTGAATGTTGGCCTGGATTTCCCTGCCCAAGCACTGACACTTAGAAATAAGCACATTAAAGCTTGTTAGCTATAGTTAATGACTTAAATACACTATAAGAAAGTAGAAAATGATTCCACATCTTTGTCCTTGTGGAACTACACATTAGGAAGGGTTTTTCTCTGTCTGTCTCTATGTCTCTCTTTTAAAAGGTACAGATACAGGAGGGGAGTGGTGGTACATATCTTTAATCCCAGCACTTGGGAGCAGAGGCAGGTGGATCTCTGTGAGTTCGAGGCTAGCCTGGTCTACATTGCGAGTTCCAAGTCCACTGGGGCTTCAGGGAGACCCTGTCTCAAAAAAAAAAAGTATAGATAGAAAATACTGGTGGGAGCATTTAATATGTTTAGGTAACAGTTTTTTTCCTTTCTCTTATTTTATGTGTATGGGTGTTTTGCCTGCATATATGTATCTGTGTGTCTGGTACCTTCCAAGGCCAGAGAAATCATGGGAGCCCCTGGAACTGGAATTAAGGATTGCTGTTAACCCCCAGGTGGATGTTAGGAGCAGAACCTAAGTCTTCTGCAAGAACAGCAAGTGCTCTTAACCGCTGCTGAGCCATCTCCCCAGCCCTCCCTGCTTTTTTTTTTTTTTTGAAAAAAAAAATTCATGTAGCCCAGGCTGGCTTCAAGCTGGTTATGAAGCTGAAAGTAACTTTGAATTTCTGATCCTCCTCTTCACTGCTGGTATTATAGGCATGTGACACACCATGCCTGGCTCAAATATAACTTACAAACTAGAAAACTGAGTGGATTGTGAACACCTACACTGTTAAGGTTAATGTATCTAAAGGTGAAGTCTTGAATTTCTATCTAAAGCATTGATTGCAGAAGTTCAGACAGTGGGAGGCTGTAGCCGGTGATTGGCTGTGAACATCTCAGGAAACTTCTGCTGTATGAGTCTATCAGGTCACATGTCAGGTTGTAAATGAAGTGAACTTGTTCATTAAGCTATTCAGTGCCTGAGGGAAAATGCGCTTGTGGAGAAAGGATAGGGTGCATGTTGAAAAAACATAAGCAAGTTACATCATGTGATATACTTACATCCTGTGAGCAGTCTGTCAGGTCACATGTCAGGTTGTAAATGAAGTGAACTTGTTCATTAAACTATTCAGTGCCTGAGGGAAAATGCGCTTGTGGAGAAAGGATAGGGTGCAGGTTGAAAAAACATAAGCAAGTTACATCATGTGATATACTTACATCCTGTGAGGAATGAGTGAAAACACTCATTTTCCTAGACAGTGGATGCTGGGGCTAGAGAGATGGCTCAGAGCACTGATTGCTCTCACAGAGGACCTGGGTTTAGTGCCCAGCACTCACATGGCAGCTCACTACCATCTGTAACTCCAGTTCTTGGGGATCTGACGCCCTCTTCTGGCCTCTGTGGTCATGGCACTCATGTACTACACATTACACACATGCAGACAAACACTCATACACATAAAATAAAAATAAATAAATCTTAAAAATAAATAAAATAAAACAGAACTGGATGCCTAGGATGGGGTAGTGTCCTCAGAGCTGCTAGGCTGCTTAGAGTTCTAAGTGAAAGAAAAAAGTGGACTTGTTTTCATAGAGAAAAACTGGGATTTCACAGGCAAACTCACAGGGAGACAGATCATAGTTCAATATAAGAAATAGACTTCTCCTAATTAGAAAAAGCTTCCTTCATATGGAATTATGAAACTATTTTGTATACCTGGACGTAGCCAATCAGATAAAGAACAGTTGGCCAGTAGGAGGAAAGGATTCCTTTGGTTGATCTTCCCTAGGCTTTCTCCAAGTTTACATTTCCTTGGTGTTAAAAGTCCAGATGATGGCCTGGGAATATGGCCCTGTGTTGGAGAGGCTTGTTTAGCATCCTGAGGTTCAATTCCAGGCACCACAAAAAGACAAACAAAGGCAAAAACCCAGATGTCATTGATAAAGCACCAGGCTGCATAAAATGTGCATACTGTGGACAACATCATATCCTTAGTGTTAGGACCGTGTTACAAACTAACTTACATGAGGTTCTCTTGGAAAGGGAATCAGAGCATGGAACATGATAAATATCTTTTGTGTGCTAAGGCACTGTACCCAGCAGAGTAAAAGCACAATCTGAGTGTTACATATCAACTTCTGAAATGTGTGTCTGTTATATAAGTTATCATGTGTTCTAGGTGAACCAAGATAAAATTTTACCTTGAAATAGGAAATTGAATTGAGTGGCAATGGAGTTGACTGATATGAATGTATATTGTTCAATAAAGAGACCCCAAAGATGTGTATTGTATGTTGAGTGTTTGCAAGCAGGTGGTAAATGCATGTATTCACATAGTATTTATTATCAATAATGCCAAGAAACAATGCATTAAATTAAAAATGATCTTGAGGAAAAACTTTATAAGATGGTATTATGTGTGTACATACTTTAAAACTAAACTTTTTTAAAAGATTCATTTTATTTTTAATTATATGAATATGTGGGATGGGGGGGTATGTGCACATGTGAGTGCAGGTACCTGCAAGGTTCATAAGAGGACGTCAGATCCCCTGGAGCTGGAGTTATAGGTGGTTGTGAGTCATCCAGTGTGGGTGCTGGGAACAGAACTTGGGTCATCTGCAAGAGCAGTAGGCACTCTTAACGGCTAAGCCATCTCTCCAGTCCCCAGATCTAAATTCCTAAGTCCTGGGTCTACCGCTTATTAGCCGAGGAGTTTACAATAAATTACCGTGGCCCCAATGAATTACCCTCTTGCAGGATAGTGATGAAAATCGAAGTAGAAAATGTATAACATAGGCTGGAGAGATGGTTCAGCAGATAAGAACACTGGCTGCTCTTGTAGAGGACCCAGGCTTCATCCCCAGCCCCCTCACACACAGACACAGACACAGACACAGACACACAGACACACACAGACACACACACACACACAGACACACACAGACACACACACACACACACACACACACACACACACGGCACCTAACAACCAACTATAACTCCAGTTCCAGGGAAATCCAATGTCCTCTTCTGACTCTGAGGGCATTGCATGACACAGGTGCACTTTATACATGCAGGCAATATGCTCATACAAATAAAATAAAAATAATAAATAAAAGTTTTTAAGCTGGGCGTGGTGGAACATGCCTTTAATCCCAGCACTTGGGAGGCAGAGGCAGGAGGATTTCTGTGAGTTCAAGGCCAGCCTGGTCTATATAGTGAGTTCCAGGAGCCAGCTGGGGCTAGAGGGAGACCCTGCCTCAAATAGACCAAATGTATTTAAAAAGAAAATGCATAACATGAATGTTGTGATGGTCCATGGTAATTGTCAACTTGACGGAATCTGGAGATGGGAGATGGGCCTCTGGACAAGCCCGTGAGGGGGTTATCTTGATTGTATTAATTGAGAAGGGCTGACTCAGCCACTCTGGGTAGCATCCTTTCCTTGGGTGGGGATCCCCGACTGTGTAAGTGCGGAGAAAAGGAACTCAGACCAGCAGCTTCCATCCACCCCTCTCTGCTTCCTGATTGTGAATGTGATGTGACCAGCTGCTTCCATCTCCCAGCACCTTGGCTACCCCACCATGACAGACTGTACCTTGAACTGTGAGCCAGGATAAGCACTTTTCCCTTAAGTTGCGTTTGTCAAGAGTAGTTTATCACAGCATCAGAAAGAAACTAAGAACAGCCACTGGTATGCCACTGATGCTACATAACTATGAATGCGTTTGCGCAGCACCTAGAATTTCAAAATCTCTCTTGTTTTAAAGATTGTGGACTCTTCTGAGATTGACAATGATACAGTGAATCCAAAGGCTGCGATCAAAACCATCTGCTCACATCTTGAGTTTGAACAACAGTAGATCCTACCAATACGTATCATGGCTAAAAGCGCCGAGGTCAAACTGGCCATATTTGGGCGTGCAGGCGTGGGTAAGTCAGGTAAGATCCCTCTTCTGGCTTTGGTAGAGTTTATGTGTTTGTTTTGGCTTTGGGGACCGGGCAGATAGGTGGTTGACATTTTTTTCATATTCTTATTTGTTGCCCATTTACATGAAATCGCCATCTTTTTATCTGGATTTTTTTCTTTTCATAGCCAACTCATCTGCTTATTTATGATAAAGTAATTTTGCTGATAAAACACAAGGAACTGGAAATGCCATAGACCTTGGAAATTAAACAACCTCCAAAGAAATTGTGGAAACTACATAAAATATTTGCTCTTTTCTCTGTCTGTGAAATCCCGAGGGTTTGAGTCTCATGCGTTTTGAGATGCTCAGCATAAACAGTCCAATGCCAGGCAGATGTTGGGAGCCTAATCAGTGCTTGTTGAATGAATAGATCTTCGGCAATGACAGGATTGCATTCTTGCCCAACACTTCTAAAATGGGAGGAGGACTTGAAAATTAGAAGCATGTACTCTCAAAAACGAGAGCTATTGCCAGTGCCTCCGGAGTGAATTTAAATCAGCAAACTCTGGTTAACATCAATAATTTAGAGCCCTTTTTTCTTTGGCAGTGATAAGGGGTTAGAAACCAAGATTTTGCACATACGTGCTAGGGAATCGCTCTGTTACTGAGCAGCATCTCCATCCCTAGGCTTCTGGGACACTCAGCTCGCCTTGTCCTTCTTAGATACATAGCCCAGCTGACCTGGAATTTGAGGTGTTACTGCTTCTGCCTTCTGAGTATTGGTAACAGGTGTGTACCACCATGCCAGCTTTTTAAAGCTGATTGAAAACCAGATAGCCCATTTGTAAATAACACTTTAGATTTTAAGATTAAAGTACATTAAAAGCAGTATCTCCCAAGCGCCAATGGCTTTGCTGGTAACGTTTCACTGGTATCTCACGGGAGGCGCTGTAACTGCACACAGAGACCAGCTGTCAGCAAATGGCACAAACCAGCCTCTGGTGGACGGATGTGTGGGTAGACGGAAACCTGCTTGGAAATAAACCAGCTAGTCCCACACACCAGGTAATGCATTTGCTCTTAAACAAACACAGCTATACACACACCTTTTCATTCTGTGATCAGCCTCTGCCCGAACCTTTTTTCAGGCTGAATTTCAGCAGTACTTTTCCTTCCTCTAAGTCTTGCTCTGTTTTAAGTTTCTCCCAACTTTTTCTGCCACCGCAGCTCTTATCTGTTCTTGCCTCTGGCAGAATCCAAGCAAGGAAAACAGTGGACCTAAGAAACTGCCGGGACTGAAGATAGTTAAACTCCTCCCCCTTAATCTTGTCTAGTGTTTCTTAATGGCATGAGAACCTCAGTTCTGTAGCTGGTGGAAGGGTCTGGAGAATGAGGAAACTGTCCAGGGAGTTCTCCACAGGAGAGGAGGGTGTGTGGGAGTGGAAGAAGGTGTGGAGGGGAGCCTGTGCTGCTAACAGCAGCTAAGTTTGTGTGAACGAAGGGTAGGCTTCAACTGGCCATGTATTCCACACTCAACATGAATACACCAGGGAAAGAGTCCCTGCAAACTTCATCTTGTCAAATAAAATAAACATGACATGATATGGTGGTTAGTTATATTGTCAACTTGCCACAGCCTAGAATGACCTGGGAAGAGTTTCAGTGAAGAATATCTAGGTCTGTTGGCCAATGAGCCTTCCTGTGAGGAATTGTCTTGATTGTTAATTGAGGTGGTGTTACTGAAATTGGGATCACAGTCTGTACCCGAAGGCATCAAGTTTGGCCACTGGTCCTTGAGAAGGCAATTAATACAGTCAAATTGATAACCAAAAGCAGAAAACGATTTATTCAATGTGACCACATTGGGAAAAGAGACAAAGATCCAGTGACCCCCTCCAGTCTGTCTTCCAGGTCCTGAAGTGAGTTTAAGGTTTAAATACTGGGCCAGGGATATACACATCTAAGCAGTTCCTCTCTAGGTGGGGATCTGCCCACCTTTGACCCATTGCTAGGCTTCAGTCACATCCTGCAAGGAGATCTAATAAGTTGTAAATCTCTTTCCTAGAGACAAGTCCCCCCTCTGGTTTGGCCTTTTCCTATTCTCACCATGAGATTCCTGGGAAAGTTCCCATTTGTTGCGGGCATTGTTTCAACAACCTGGTAGTCAAACTGAGGGACACAAGTGTCTCCCGAATGTCTCCATTTCCTAGATGACCCCTGTTCCCTGGGAACAACTATTGCTTGACCTTAGTTTTACTTTACAGCAGAGGTTGAAATAGTTCAAGAAGTTTCTTTATTAATTCTAAAATCTTGATATATTGTAGGTAAATTTGGGGGCCTGTGCCTCTTTTATTTGTGCATAAGTTCCTCCACTTTTGTTGTTTGTTTTTTGTTGCTGTTGTAGTTTTTGTCTGTAAATATAAGGCTGTGTATTTAGAATACAGTAAAGAAATTACGTTAGCCTAGGAGTGTGACAAAAGTAGGTTTTCTCTAAGATCTTTGACCTCTCCAGCCATATATATTTGGCTATGTTTACAGAGCCTGCCAATGTTTTTCAAAGTAGCATTTTAACATTTTGTTTATTTATTGTGGGGGTGGGGGTAGGGGTGGGGTCAGAGGACTGCTTGTAGGAATTGGTTCTCTCCTTCCACCATGTGGTTCCTGGATGAAAATTCAGGTCCTCAGCTTGAAGGCAACTGCCTTTATCCACTGAGCCGCCTCACTGGCCCAGATCCCTCTACTTTTGCTTATTTTTATTTGGGTGAACACAACAATGACAGAGGACGTGTCTTTAACAATTGCCCTTTTGTCTGTTCTCTATAGCAGGCACTGTTTTCCTATTTCAACATTAGAATGCCTCCCTGAAACCCGTAACCACACCTTAGCTGAGAAGGTAGCAGTCTAGAGGCTAGCATGGGAGACAGTGCAGAAGCTTTTCCCATAGCTCAGTGAAAACAACCAGAGACCACAGTAATACAGGGTTCATGTTTATTCTAGCTTCCTAAACGATGGCTTTATCATGTTTCTGCCTGGTGGTGATAACACACATTCACTCCTCTGCTATAGGTAGTATGCCTTACAAGTAGCTTTTGTGCATGTGCTCTCTCACTCTCTCCTTCTGTACATGTTTTTGCATGTGCTCATGCATGTATGTACACATGCTTGTGAAGGCCAGACATCAACCTTAGGTGTCTTCCTGGCTTGCTCTTCATTTTGTGTTTTGAGACATTTTCCCTCACTGGCTTAGAGCTTGCCCTTTGGCTAGGCTGGCCTGGGGATCTGCCTGTGGTCCCCCCAACCCCCACCTCCCAGTGCTGGGATTGCAAATGCACCACCATGCCTGGCTTCATAAACACCGGTTCTGGGGAGTTTTCTTATTTGCCTGGCAAGGACTTTACCAACTGAGCCATCTCTCTAGCTCATGCATATTTGCTTTTTTTTTAAGTCTGTAAGAAATCGCACATACAACCATGCCGGGTGCCTCTAGAGCCTGGCCACAATCCTTCTGTGGGCCCCCACAATCTAATCTGTCTCTGGATCACATCAGAAATAACCCAGTAGGAGCCTTAAGATCTTTGGATGGTAAAAACTGAACATCTCTGATTTGACTTGATCTGAATTGCTTGAGAGGCTTCAAACCATGCTCGACCCCTGTACCCCACCCCCTTCATTGTCATATTGGCATTTAGATATGTAAAACCATATTGCTCATTTGCCAGTGGAGATTCAGTACAGCTTGGAGTCTTGAGCTCTGGAGTTGAGCTGCGGTGCTTAACTTCCAAGTCTACCCTTTATTTACTGTGTGAACTTGGCAATGTGAGGCAAGTTACTTCTCAACTCTTCAAGTTGTAAAAACACATGATAGGGCTCCCCTTGGTTGTCAAGATAGAATCAGTTATTATGTGTAGAACATGGCACAGGGTGGATGTTCCCATTATTAGAATGTTTCAAAGCATGCTTTTGATTTCAGTTCCAGAAATACATAATCAAAGATAAATTGAGGGGCTGGAGAGATGACTCAGTGGTTAAGAGCACTGGCTACTCTTTCAGACGGCCCAGGTTTGGTTTCCAGCACCCATATGGTGGCTAACAGCCGTCTGTAACTCCAGTTCCAGGTAACTGACACCCTCCTCTAACCTCCACAGCATTGCACAACATGGGTGCACGTACACACGTGAAGGCATAACACTCATACACATAAAATAAAAATAAACTTTTTTAAATATTAAAAAACTATATTCTATTAGGTATTTTGCTTTTCACTAAAAATAAGAAAATTTATGTAAGGTAAAACTATAACCCTACTTAACATACCAACAAACACACACACTTTCTGTGACAGAACAAAAGTCTGGTTCATGTCAACTACAGCTCGGCCACTGATGGTTAGAATCATACTTCGCAGCTTTATATTCAATCTTGGAAAAATAACTAGAAATATGTTAGTGTCGTTAATAAATTAACACTCTTCGATTTGAAAGTGCTTCTGGTATGTAGTTGATGACTTTCTAAGCCCAGGTGATAGATAGGTCTTCCATGTTTAAAACAGAACTGAACACTAAACAGAACTTTTTGGATGACAGGTTAACCATAGAAGTGTCAGCAGAGGCAAAATTTAATAATGTGCTGATTGCTAAGGTGGAACGATAAAATAACTAAGGGATGTACGTGTATAATACATGTGCGGCAGTTATTTACATGGTCCCTTGTATTACCCAGATTCTTCTTCCTCCTGTTTAATTTCACCTTGCAGTTCTGTCTTCAAATGAGCCTGCTGGCTGAGGATCAGCATGCTAAGTGCAGTGGGGCTGTGGCAAAGCACAGACCAGGATTTCCCAGCTTTCCAGTCCTCTGCCCCAGCAAGGCAGACATTTACTGTTGTTGCCCAGGGTAGAGCTCTGATAATGTGGCATGCAGACTTCCTTCCTGCATGCCTCAGCCTATATTTTGACAGGATCTAAGTAATTAAAGCAAAAAGACCTGCCAATAAACCTCGAAGACACACGTTTTTATTTAAATGCTTCCTGGATT